TTTATTGACAATTTGATCGAAAAATTAATTGGGATTCCAAAAACTGTCTTTCCCATGAAATACATCATAAGGCATATTTCTAGTGTAATCCTCACGTTAGAACTTTCTAACACCATAACCATAGAATTTTCTTTTGGAGATAAATCACTTAGCAAAATAAGTCCACTGAAAGGCATTATCTAATAGTGCACCAATATCAGCCAATTGTTGAGAAACAGACATCACTTGAGTGACTTGAGCTTCCGAATGAAAGCATCGATTCCTTCAAGTCCCCCCAACGTCGTCATATGCTTTTTTAGAATTTTTCCAAGATTCGTTAGCTGTTTTGGTGATTCAGACATGTTTTATTGACAATTTGATCGAAAAATTAATTGGGATCTGATCCGACGTTGAAATACGTTTTTTGTAAAATTCCTGACTAACAGGTCGCTCAGTAGTAATTGAGGATCAATGAGCCAATGACCTGGAAAACTTTTAGTGGCAATAACTTATATGCTTTATAGAACATTTTGTTTTTGATTGTTTTACAAACATCATTTGATAACCATAACCCACACAACAATGTAATCTCAAATTTTCCGTCTTTTGTAAGCATCTTGATATTATTTGAATAGTACTTATTTTCAAATGTTGACAAAATGAGCAATAACAATAACTATGTAATGAATATTTAGCAAATATGTCACTTAATGTCAAACATACGTTTGGTTCCAACGCCAACTTAAAACACTTACTTTGGACAAGAAAATCTCCAGAAAATCAATGAGTTTGTTCCGAAGTACCTATATTATCTTGATATTTTTTGAATTTATATTATTGAATATTAAGTTATTGGTACAATACTGTATAATTTTCAGTAATTTTCAGTGTTAACAAAAAATAAAAATAACTTTGCACGAGAAACTTTAAAAATTATTTCACTCTTAAAAAAGATTGACCGTGGTAAATACCATATTTGTAATATTACAGGCTTTTAAATAAACCGTCGTATACAGAATGCTGTTTATTTATCGTTCTAGCAATTTTTTTTTCGTAGTCCCCATTTAAAAAAATGAGTAAGAAAAATAAAACTCCACTTTGATGGCCACGACTTCTAATCTAGATGAATTTTTTGATGCTGATACTGGATAACATTTCCCGAAATTTTTCAAAATAAGAGTTTTTTACTCTTGTCTCAAAATCAAATATTTGAAAGCTCCTCGTATATTACGTGTGTTTTAATGTATTGTGTTGGTGCATGTTCAGTTTTAGGGCGTACACAAGTTTTTATCAGGAATAACTTTCTGTATAGTGCATATTTAGGGGATGACTCTGTATAAAAACTACTCATATATAGAGATGACAGTACAAGATTATCATTTTCAATAGTTGTTTCAGTAAAAACAAGTGTCTAATAACTAATTTCCCGGCTACTGTTCCCCTCGATGAAGTCTTGACACTTATTTTGATTTCAACTCATTACATAACTACTTCACTAGTTCAATTGTGAATTCCATAAAAGTTCACTAGTTCATTATTGTATAGCTCTGAGGCATAGAGGATAAATCCTTCGATATTTCCCCAATGTGATGAATATTCACTAGGATCCTCGGAAAGAAAGTTATAACCGGGTTGAATACAACTGTTGCTATTTGAAAAATCAATACAACTCATCAACAAAACCAAACAAAATTCACCAAGGGTAGATGAATAAATGAACAATAGTTACATAGTTACATCAGATATTATGAATCAGATTAATCTATCACGAACAGTGATTGAATATTATTTCACATCTATGAATGCTCATATAACAGAACATCATAACATGATACAATTGAGCGATACAACTATAATACATATCGGATGAAATTTGAAATGAGATTTCGATTGTATTTCTCAGTAGAGTCGAGCAATTTCGACGGGAAAAATTATTTCCACGTGAGTAACTAGGGTTTCTCTCAGATTAGATTTTATATTTTGTCGTTTCTAGAATCGTGAGGGATGACGAATAGGTTGAATTCGAATGGAATCGTTGATAGTAGGTTGGGAAATTGAATATAGTCGTTAGTGACGCATAATAAATAAAGGTCAGTGTATCATCTTGAGATACTCGAATTTGAAAGACATTCTCAGAAATGTTGTGGGTATGCCTAGAGATATTTAGAAAATTTGAAACGTGATATATGCCGGAAGTATGTTCTATTCATCCACTTCCAATACTGAAATTTCAATATCCTCATGTTATCGGGGCCACAAAAATGATATATTGTATATTCTCATTATGTAATGCGAATCAGCTCGAATGTGTGAAGAACATGAATGTATACTATAGAAACCTTTTCACTAATATCACTTTGACAGCACAATGAAGAAATTCTGAAAAAAAAACGTAAATAGCGATGTCTCATAAATTTTTTTTCAGAAGAGAAAAAACAAGTACTACAGCAAAGTCTTCAAGGCGCTCTGAAAATACTGCCTGTGCGAAAGTAGTGATTTAGGTTGGATTTGAATTGCCAGGGATTGAATCCATTCGGAAAAACATGAACGCCGTTTTCCCAATAAACGAGTTCTTGAACTGTGAAGATCGAAGTGTACTGAATTGAACTTCAAGACGATGAGCAGCCACAGTCCGTCGTGAATTTCTGATATGTACCGCTCTTGGCGGAATGAAATGTCCAAGTCACTTGGAAACCTTCCGTGAAAGAACCTATAAAAAACATTTAGCTGGAAAGCAATCTTTGTACTGATAGTAGGTTGTTCTTCAATCAAATTGAGTACTGCTTCCTCAAGCTGTGGTGTTCGTACTTCTTGATGGCGACCACAATCCTGCCTTCTTTTGTCGAATGAATCATATTCTCGTAATCGTTGATAAAGTCAAGCAAATATTCTATTTGAAAGATGTATGCCATGTATGGCATTTGTGTATGCCATTTTAATAACAACTGAATGAATAAAGTAACAAATTAAGAATAGAACACACAATTAGTATCAATTCAATTCCGAAAATTCACAAATTGACAACGTCATACCAATTCAATTGTCACTATCGCTAATAGCGACCTACTAGATAGATTAGTTTCTTATTTTCGCATTTATCACGATGTATCTCTGTAGTTGTTTCTAAAATAATTTTTTGCTGCGAACTGGTTTATTTTGGGCAAAAAATCCAGAAGGCATTTTTTTTCGAAATGAAATAGATTATCGGAAATGAATTTTTAAATGGTAAACAAATAATAAGACAAAAAGTAACATTGGAAATAAATTTTAGGGGTTGCGTTTTCCACCCCTTACACCCAACCAAATAAATTTCTGGCTAAGTGTTTTTTGGTAGTACAAAACGTCAGGTTAATTTCAATATTGTAACTTTTTTAGTGCTTGTGAGAAAAATTGTTATACAAATTTTATTAAGGGGCTGTATCTTAACAATGGTTGCTCCAATGACATTTCTTCATATGATATCCTATCTTTTTTTCGATGAGGAATCACCTCCTTAAATGTTTTACACTTATTTAGTTACACCCTATATAAAGCACCAAAAGTTACTGAGGTGTGTACAGCTTTCTGGTTCGGAACAGTGTACCAAGCTAATGAGGAGCAGCCTTTGCAATTTCAGCGACAAGATTGTGCTGCCAAGACATATTGGTGTTCATTTACACCCTCACGTTATTATATCCGGTTCGGAAGCATTTATCTTTTTGGAGAAAACCGAGGCATTGAATTGAAGCTGATTAGTTTCACCCCAATTCGAAATCACTTCTAGATCCTCATTAAGATATGCAACCTCCTGCTGCATCCGCAGCCGATGTCCTGGAATCGAAATGAATTGACGAGACAAGTGTGCTGTCATCAGTAAATCAATATATTGGATTCTTCGTTTTTCCAATGAGTCGTTGATATACAATAAAAATAGAGTTGAAGCCATAGCATCAAAATTTGGCCAACAAACCCTCATGCCACACACGGTCAAATGCTATAGAAATATCAAGCGCAACAGCTCATGACTTTCCAAGTTTCTCGATTGCTTATTTCAAATTTGGGTGACATACGATAGAAGATCGCCTGTTGAACTTTGTCATATTGATGATAGCTCAAGATTTGAAGTCTTTTCATATTCAAGGCTATGGTGGTGATCTAGGGCTTTCTGAATTATTTTTGATATCACTGATAGCGAAGTGACTGGTTTATAGTTATTTGAAAGATTTTTCTTGCCCTGTGCGTTTGCCATCTAGCCTCAAGTGAGAAAACTGAGCATTGTGAAAATCATTTAATGCTTCAAGTGAATAACTGTCCAAAATACATTTCAGGAGTTTTTATCTTCACAAGTGAGTCTGGGAATTTCAAATTACTTCATCTCTGAAAGCACATTCATTTCGAAATCACTTGGCAAAAATACGTGAATCAAAATACACAAAACAAAGTAAAAATACTTCACGTGCGAATCACAAAAAGTCTCAGTTGTTGTTATTCGACGATCGTTCATCCCTTTTCATTTGATACTTTCCAGGGATTCTCTGTCTTAGGCTTACCATTTGTTTCCCTATTCACGATTTTTTGTTGTTGATGAAAAGAATATGAATATGATAAAAGTTGATGTTTTCAACGAAATTCCATGAGACTTTCATAAACTGCTCCAAGGTACGAATGGAATGAATTATTCAAATGTTTACATTATAGTGTTGAAAACAAAATTGAATAATTTTTAAAGCTTCAAATGATTAACTAAAATTCGCGTTCTAAAACATTTTGATTAGTAACGGAATTTGCAGGAGCATAACAACTTTTTTTGGTTTCGGAGTTAATTACCATTTCGGAAACCCGTTTTTCGGACCCGGCTTTTTTGTTTTTTGTTCTTTTTCTTGTTTCATTTTCGAATACGACACACATAACTATACGTCAGACAACCCGTTTTCATAAACATTTAGCGTTGTTATTCAGCCTCCGTCATATGGATATATGCATGTTTTTATAGTGAAACATTTTCTATTAAACGAAATTTATGCGACTTTATCCACACTCACCCTTTTCCTGGTCTCGTAATCCAGCGCTCCTGCTACATAAATAGCTCCCGTCATATTTTTAACTGCGAATGCGCCTCCTATGTTACCGCTTGTGATCTCATATCGAATACGGGAGGCTGAAATGGAAGAAAAATGTCAGTAAGAATATACATTGTATGTAGCGGTGTTCGTCTGAACTAACTACTGGGATTCAACTGTTTGTGGACCTGAATATTCTCAAATAGGAGTTGGAGAACTTTCACAATAATGTTTTTCGTCCGAAAAAGTATTCGAATAAGTAACGAATATGTACTTAGTTTCATAGACTCATATCTGAAAAATATATCCTTTCCAATTCAAATATTTGTGAAGAGTTCAGTTTTTCATTAACTGAGTTACCAGCAGAATCAGTTTCTGGATGAGAGAAGTGAATATCTATATCAGGGGTCGGCAAATAGTTTTAGGTGGCATCCGGATACTGTGGGAAAATTTTAACGGTGTACAAAAAAAATATTATTTATAAAGTGCTACATATTATTTTGGTTTCAAATCACATTCTGAATTTTAAAAGAAATACAAGACCTCTTATCAATGTGAGAAACTACACCAACGGTATTGAGCTACCTTTTTATAGTTTGGTTCTCGAAAGGAACAGCAAATTCGAAGTGTGTCTTTTAGGTAGGCGTCCGTTAATCTCCAAGGATATTTGTTTTTCGAATACATACATATGTCGAGACGAACATAGTGGCTAAATTTATAGCTAGTTTCTTGCAATTTTCATATTTTTCTGGAATATGTTTGGTCCAAAATCCTTCAGTGGATACTGTTTTATATATTTGCAAAGACACATCTCCTTGCAAATCAATTATCTATATTTGAAGTGATGCCCTTGGCAGCCACATCCGTCCATTCTGCTGGAACTTCAACTCCAAATGACGATTTAAGAAACGGAGATAGCTTGCTCATCTCTACAAAGTCTTGGAATCTTGTAGCAAATTCGTTTCTAAGATCGGCCAGAAATTTCACAAACACGGCAATGTCTTCTTCAGAGGTATTTTTATATTGAAGAATTGTCGGAATATGAATGAATTCGTGTCTTGCAATATCTTTTTCAAAGATATCCAGCTTGCAACGAAAAGCAGATACGTTTTTTATCAGATCACATATTAATTTTCCATTTCCTTGTGATTCTCTGTTGAGCACATTCGAATATTTCAAAATATCTTTCAAAAAAGCCACGACCAGCATAGTATGCTTATTTGTGCTTTCTGGCTCCATCCGTACATAAGTTTTGCAAGAAGGATGTTACTTCTTCTTTCATCAGCCAGAAACTTTCAATAATTTGACTTTTACTTAACCAACGAACATTTTGTCGTGAGATTGAAGTTTTTCTTTACGAACCTCACTGCCAAGAGGAAAGTTTTTATGAAATTGCTGATAAGTTGTTTCGAAGTCTCGCTTCACATTACCACTCTTTACAATAGCGACAGTTTTATTGCATATAAGGCACACTGGAACCGCTTGAGACCTATTAGGCAGAGTAAAACTATATTGTTCAGTCCATTCTGCCAGAAACCTCGTATTTTCACTATCTACTTCACGCTTTCTAGACGCTATTCGACTTTTCGCGGTCCGCAAACGGACCGCGGTCCGCCTGTTGGGGACCATTGTTACATCATCTGTTCACTGTTGAAGACTTGTGATGTGGTTTGACATAAAATACAGCGAACAATTGATGGTTTGAAAATTGATTATTCAATAGTAGACAGTTTATTTTCATAAATTGGGATCGATTCTTCAGATAATTTTCAATCAACTTCACAGCGTCAAAATAGCTCAGAATGAGCAATGATAAAGAATGGTTGAAAGTAACTTATACGATTATTCTTCGGCAGTTTATGTTGCATCGCTTGATCGAATATTCCAAATGAATTGGGTAGGATGCTAATCCTACAAAAATGTTTGTATTTCACTGGATTTAACTTCTGCAGCAGTATTTTTACTGCGCTCGTCCCTCGAAAATATGAAATATATTTTATTATATGTTTATTATATGTGAACAATAAACATGTATCGCTTGAACTCGAGATATTTTAAGCGATACATGAATTATCCATCTCCTCGGAATGAAATTCTGAGCAATCATCTTTATTTTCATTGAAATTCAGTAGTGTTTTTAGTGTCTCTGAGTATAGTATTGCATTCCATTTGAAACTTCTTGGATGTGATTAGGACCTTATAGTGTCTACGAGTCCTGCGAATTCTATTTGAATCACTGTTGTTGGATTTGAAATTGAAGTTTTTTATAAACCTGAAGAATGAAGGTAATGGACATTCTGAAATGAAACATACGTTGACGTTTACATATCATCAATAACATGCAAAGAAAGAGAGCTTCAGTGTGGTAATAAATAATAATTATTTTCAATCCAAGATGTTAATACATCTGAAATCCTTAAAGAAAGTTTTGAACTCTACCAATCCCAGCTATGATTTGAAAAATGAATAATTAATTATCTAGAACTTTTACATTGTTATAAAAGAATAAGTATACCCTGTTCTGTTTATTCAACAGCTCGTATAGTAAATATATCGTGTAAGAATTTCAGGATAGTTTGCAGTCACTAAATAATTTGGTGAACACGCCGATAATAACATTTTAAAGATATGGCGAGAGATCTTGAATTAAATAATAAAATGACAATCCCAGTTCCGATGAAAAAATTAATAATCAATTATCTAAAACTTTGACATTGTCATTATTGAATAAGTATACCCTGTTCTGTTCATTCAACAGCTCGTATAGTGAATATATCGTGGAAAAATTTTAGATTATTTTGCAGTCACTGCATAATTTGGTGAACACGCCGATAATACACTTTTCAAGTTATGGCGAAAGATCTCGAATTAAATAAAATGGCAATCCCAGTTCCGATTTAAAAAAATGAATAAATAATTATCTAGAACTTGGATATTGTTATTATTGAATAAGTTAACCAGTTCTGTTTATTCAATAGTCACTGNTATCTAGAACTTGGACATTATTATTATTGAATAAGTATACCTTGTTATGAACAATTTGGTGAACACGCCGACAATAATCTTTTCAAGTTATGTCGAAAGATCTCGAATTAAATAATGAAATGGCAATCCCAGTTCCGATTAAAAAAAAGCACTTTGACATTATTATTAATGGATAAGTAAACCAGTTCTGTTTATTCAACAGTCTCTGAATAATTTGGTGGACACGCCGAGGACAATCTTTTCAAGTTATGGCGAAAGATCTCGAATAAAAAAATAAAATGGTTATCCCAGTTCCGATTAAAAAAAATGAATAAATAATTATCTAGCACTTTGACATTATTATTAATGCGGAATAATCGCTGAGGAATAATCTTTTCAAGTTTCATTTTTCAGTAGTTCAAAGTTACGGAAAGTGAACCGTAACCACACAATCCATCCTCATAAACTCGGTTAACGATTATTCCGGAGAATAGGTAATATGCCAAGACTGAAGTAACTACCTCCTTATTCAAGTTATCAATTTGTTTTCGCGGAAAGTTTTGAACCCAGAATTTGATATATCTTTGAACTTATCATGCTCACGTAAACATATCTAAGATATGTTAAATTCTCGGCGGAAGTCTCCCACAATGAACTTCTCAGATTTTGTTCGAAATATCGGTGAAGTATATCAGCACATCGAATATGAGAATGAAATTTATGTTCTTCGTGAAAATTGTTGTTCGGATGCACTTAACTTTCTGAAGGACTCGCTATTTGAAAGTATTTCACAAAGTGAAAAGTTCAGTGATGATGCTTGAACAAAAAAAAAAGGAAAGAATGTGATGAAGTGCCCGAAGAAGAGATTTTGTTCGACTTCTCGAGTCTCTGGCAAACAAAAAGCCGCTTCTTGAAAACACCATTAATCAATAATGGACAACAGAGTTACTCGCCACTTCTCAGAATTCGCAGGTATAAAAGACTTGCTTTACACTACTTCAACTCTTGAGGAAAAAGAAAATATTACGTATAGGATGAGCCAGTATGAATCCTGATTAAGAAACAGGGCATTAGTGGGTCATCACCCCGACATATGCGGTCGAAGTTCTCATAGAAAGTCGGGGAGGTCGCTTTTAATACAAACCTTAGAATGTTGAATCCAACATCCCAGAAACTTTTTAATTATGCAAGATAAATTCGAACTTCAAGTAAATGGAGCGTAGTTTGTGCAAGTAGAAACTTAACAGAAGTGTGTTTCATTTATATCCGAGTTTAAATCACAATGAATACAATTCGCCTGGACGATCATAAATAACTTCCTTTTAGAGAACGAACTTTTATGCTTTCTATTCGCAGTTATCAGAATAATAGTTGAGTAATGGTAGAGCGGAAGTTTGTGAACGACAGAAGAAAAACTGGGATTCAATTCGTTGACGAAAAGGAAAGGATATCGCCGGCAAGGCAGGATAGCTGGCTTTCAATTTTGAGGAGGAAATGAAATGAACGTTCTTGATGGATGGAAGTGATTGTTCCAGAAAAACTGTTTCCGTGTGATCCCGAGTTATCCACGAATAGTGAAAAGTATTCTGGAATAATATAAAACATCAGGACCCAAATCGTCGGAAAGAAATTTTCATGAATACACTGAAAGAAAGTGATCAAATATATTCCTTTGAATAAATTGATGGATGTAGCCGTAACTACGTGGTAGGAAATCACAAAGAAGGAAAGAGAGTTGAAACTTTCTATGTTTTTTACCACTTTTATCTGTAACTAACGTTACTGCAGTTTCGTCCTATAAGGACATTTTCGAACTTATATATTGAGTTTAATATAGTAACGTTAGTAATAAATAAAAAACATAGAAAGTTTGAATTTAGTGACAGAGACTACAGAAATGATCACAACTTATCAATGGAATTTTTTTTTTCATCCTGCGTTTGAAACAGTCTGAAGAGATTTCAAAATATTGAATATTATTGCAAATTTCGTTAAAGGTTTTGAGCATTTTATGAAGTGGTGAATTTTGAGCAGCATTTGTCCTTGTGCAAGTACGCCTCAACGTTCTACCCTGAACATTGAACTCGATTTTGGAATAAAGCTCTGGCAGTGGACTGATTTTTTCATC